GCTGAGATCAAACTGATGACATCCACACTGTATGGCAGCAGTATTATAAACTGGGCCTCTATCCAGGTTGCTCTCTTGACTTTTCAATAGTTACTAATACTGCATTGCCAACAAGGCTACACAATCAGTTTGAAACCATTACTTTTTCTAACAGAAAAACAATAGCTATCATATAAAGTGAGATTTAAGGAACTTTTTGAACAATACACTGCTTTTTTGTTGCAAAGTTATCTTATTCTGAATGGTTAAACAGAGTAGTTATGTTTTGGCACATGTATAATGGGAAAAATAAAAAGTATATATTTTTTTATTATATCATATTTTGCATTTGGTTCTGTATCAGTTATTTGAAAATCTTACCTTTATACCAATTATAGTCTTGTAAACTTGCAACTTACTGACTAAAAGTAATTTTTAAATCATTAACAGGGATTGCATTAACATCCTCCTAAATCATTCCCAAGAATGCATAGATTCACATGGAAGACTGGAGATTAGGAATTTTTGCAGCAGGCAGCCATACACAAATTTTATACTGATTTAAAATAATTTTACATATAAACTTAAAATTTTGTGAAAGGACACAACATTAACTTTTTTATTTTTATTTGGTTCAGTGTACCATAACAACCCCAACCCTAACCCTTAGTCAATAAATCTTAACATGCATTTTAAGAAGGCTCATTTGTCAGATTAAGATTGTCTTTTAAAATAATAACCTTAAAGCAACTACTAAATATACTTTGCACCTATCTAACTGTATTAGAAATGCATTTTTGTTAGTCTGTTGTAATGTTCTAATGTAAATGTTGCTTTTGGCTAAGAGCTTATAGATGAAAATCTTATTGTGGCTTACAATTTTTAATGAGATATACATATCTTTTAAACGCTTGGTTCAACATTTCAAAAACAAATTTCTATCTTGAATTAAATATCTTTACACTGCATCAATTTCGAAATAAAAAAGTTTGAGAAAATAAAGCCTAGATTTTTTTTGTTTTTGTTTAAAAAAAGAGGAATATTTACTAGATTTTTTGACCTAAACATCAACGGAGAAGTTCAATACATTGACTTTTCACACCAGGGCTGCATTATGGTACACTATTTGAAACCAAACCCTTATAGTTTTAACCATAATACAGGTGCTGGTCATAAAATTAGAATATCATGAAAAAGTTGATTGATTTCAGTAATTCCATTTAAAAAGTGAAACTTGTATATTATATTCATACATTACATACAAACTCATATATTTCAGATGTTTATTTTGTTTAATTTTGATGATTACAAATGACAACAAATGAAAATCTCAAATTCATCATATCAGAAAATTAGAATATTGTGAAAAGGTTCAAAATTGATGGCCCCTGGTGCCACACTCTAATCAGCTAATTAACTCAAACCACCTGCAAAAGCCTTTAAATGGTCTTTCAGTCTAGTTCTATAGGCTACACAATCATGGGGAAGACTGCTGACTTGACAGTTGTCCAAAAGACGACCATCGACACCTTGCACAAGGAGGGCAAGACACAAAAGGTCATCGCTAAAGAGGCTGGCTGTTCACAGAGCTCAGTGTCCAAGCACATTAATAGAGAGGCGAAGGGAAGGAAAAGATGTGGTCGAAAAAAGTGTACAAGCAAGAGAGATAACCGCACCCTGGAGAGGATTGTGAAACAAAACTCATTCAAAAATGTGGGGGAGATTCACAAAGAGTGGACTGCAGCTGGAGTGAGTGCTTCAAGAACCACCACACACAGACGTATGAAAGACATGGGTTTCTGCTGTCGCATTCCTTGTGTCAAGCCACTCTTGAACCACAGACAGCGTCAGAAGCGTCTTGCCTGGGCTAAAGAGAAACAGGACTGGACTGCTGGTGAGTGGTCCAAAGTCATGTTCTCTGATGAAAGTAAATTTTGCATTTCCTTTGGAAATCAAGGTCCCAGAGTCTGGAGGAAAAGAAGAGAGGCACTTCATCCACGTTGCTTGAAGTCCAGTGTAAAGTTTCCACAGTCAGTGATGGTTTGGGGTGCCATGTCATCTGCTGGTGTTGGACCATTGTGTTTTCTGAGGTCCAGGGTCAACGCAGCCACATACCAGGAAGTTTTAGAGCACTTCATGCTTCCTGCAGCTGACCAACTTTTTGGAGATGCAGATTTCATTTTCCAACAGGACTTGGCACCTGCATACAGTGCCAAAGCTACCAGTACCTGGTTGAAGGACCATGGTATCCCTGTTCTTAATTGGCCAGCAAACTCTCCTGACCTTAACCCCATAGAAAATCTATGGGGTATTGTGAAGAAGAAGATGCAATACACCAGACCCAACAATTCAGAAGAGCTAAAAGCCACTATTAGAGCAACCTGGGCTATCATAACACCTGAGCAGTGCCACAGACTGGTCGACTCCATGCCACGCCGCATTGCTGCAGTAATACAGGCCAAAGGAGGCCCAACTAAATACTGAGTGCTGTACATGCTCATACTTTTCATGTTCATACTTTTCAGTTGGCCAACATTTCTATAAATCCTTTGTTTTTATTGGTCTTCAGTAATATTCTAATTTTCTGATATGATGAATTTGAGATTTTCATTTGTTGTCATTTGTAATCATCAAAATTAAACAAAATAAACATCTGAAATATATGAGTTTGTATGTAATGTATGAATATAATATACAAGTTTCACTTTTTAAATGGAATTACTGAAATCAATCAACTTTTTCATGATATTCTAATTTTATGACCAGCACCTGTAATGGGACACACAGTTAAAGCATAAAATGATTCATTCTGATGGCAGACTAAGGTTTTGAAATATTCTTTTAATTTTAAGGATTTTTTTCTCTACACTTCAAATAACATTAACATTTTAAGGTGGTTAGTTGAGGGAGAGAAAGATTAGAAAAACAGCAAAAGGGTCTTCCAATCTAACATTTTTTTGACACCATGCAACAACTTTAACAGAAATTAAATGAATAATGTTTCCATGAGTTTCAGGGAGAGATTTCAGGATGGCACTGAGGAGGAAATGAACAGTTTGGAAGAAGTGATATTAGATCATTTGTGAAGAAGATTAAGACACATCTGTTCTTTTTTCTGGAGATTTTATAATTTCTGAGGAAGGCGTTGAATGTACTCACAGAAGCTGAGAATAAGAAGCTGTGGTAAGTGGTGTAAGCTACTGATGGTTTGTTTATTTTTTCAGGATAAGAAGGAAAAATCAAGCATTAGAGGGTGGACTGGCAGGTGAGGGATAGTAAAATTTTAATTTCTTCAGACAGCAAATTAAGGGGAGCATCAATTCAATTAAATGTATTTATATAGCACCAATTCATGACACATGGTATCTGAGGGTACTTTACAATTCAACCAGATCATACAGTCAGGGGCGGAGCTAGATGGAGGGCCAGGAGTGGCCATGGCCACCATTAGCCAATCATTGGCCACCCCTGTGGTCACCCCTACCATTTTTTCCCTCTGATACAGATGGTGGCAACAGTAATACTCTCAAGTGGAATATTCAAAACATTGTTCATATATAAACAATTATTTGACAACAAAAGTATGAGTATGAGTAAAGAGAAAATGATGTGTCTCTGTAAGTCATCTAAGAGTCTTCAGTGAAATCATAAATAAATAACTTATTAAACAAAAACTTATTAAATAATCCGTTTATGTAGATATTAGTACTTCTAAATATCATGTTTGTGCAGAATGATTACTCATAAAAGTAGGTAAATATCGACAATGTTCGCCCGAAGCTCAAAGCTGAAAGAATTTTATCCAAAATACCTTTTATCTAGAAACCACGGATGTTTGAATATATTCGTCTATTTTTTAGAAAAGGCTGTGGGAAAGTTTAATTTGTCTTTATTTAGAAAATATGGATTTGCTCGTTAATTTCCCTGTTGGAACAGCGTAGATTGACCCTGAGGTTTTGCTGCCTATCTACTTTCATCCCCCCCTCAGTGTACATTTGTTATTGCCTGGCCACCCTTATAAAAAATGTTCTGGCTACGCCTCTGCATACACTCAAATTGATTCAAAGTTCAGGTTCACGTCCAGTTGTTGGAAATGAACCTCGGCTGTCATGAAGCAGCTTTTTGTCATATCCTGCAGTCTAAGGAAGTTACGGATTTAATAAAAACACTGGCTGTCATCATTTCTCATCAAAACTTTTGGTTCATTTTGAAAGCTCGTCTAAGGCTCTTTCTAACACACAAACAACAATAAATAAACAGCAAACCTACATTAGAATTATAAAATAAATAGTAAAATCAAATAAAACAGTGTCTGTTTGGGATAAAATGTGTGCCTTCTGCCCGTGTCCTCACTACGATTAAGAAAGTAGAGCACATCACCCCAGTTCTAAAGTCCTTACACTGGCTCCCTGTATCTCAGAGAATAGACTTTAAAATACTTCTGTTAGTCTATAAATCTCTGAATGGCTTAGCGCCTAAATACATCACAGACTTGCTTTCAGTGTATCAATCCTCCAGACCACTCAGGTCTTCTGACTCCAGCCTGCTCTGCACATCTAGAACCAGAACTAAACATGGAGAAGCAGCATTTAGCTCCTATGCTCCACTTGTCTGGAACAAACTTCCAGAAAATTGTAAAAGTGCGGAAAGCTGAGTTCCTTTAAATCAAGACTAAAAACACATTTGTTTAGGATTGCCTTCGACTGTTCTAGTTAAACAGTTCAACTGAAATATCATTAGTTAAACATTCTTATTTTCTTTAGTCCAACTCTTTTTTGTTTGTTTATTTTTTCCTACTTGCTTTGTTTCAGTTTTATTTTTCCTATATTTTAATCATGTAAAGCACTTTGCATTGTCTTTTTACTGAATTGTGCTATACAAATAAATATGCCTTGCCTTGCGTTCTGGTTTAAATTCCTTTTTTTTTATGTTTTTTTTTTTTTTAAATTCTGCAAGCTCCCGTCCAAAGTTACTGGAGCCGCACGCAGTGCGTCTTTAAGTGTGTGGCGCTCTGCTGCGCCCACCGGCTGGCTGATAGGAGGGTTGGAGTGAATGACGCTGGCTGCGCCTTGATGCTGAGCGGAGCGCTCACCTGCAGACCAGAGGAGCCGGCCGGGGAAAAGTCGGGACAGAGCTGCTGCAGACAAAACGCAGGGTGGGCCGGAGCCAACAGTCTGACCAAAGTGGGAGAGGAAATTAATCAGTCGTCGGAGAAGAACCACGGAGTGACCCTCTTTCTTATCTCTCCGGTTCCTTGTTAAGGCAGCTTTGACTCGCTTCCAGTCGCCGCAATGAGAGCTGACTTCGCAGTGGTCCTTACAGCAGCTCTGCTTTTTGACATATTTATGGTGAGATTTCTCTCTTTCCTTTTTCTAAGCCTTGTTTTAATAATAAGAAGTCTCGCAGGCAGATAGAGCGGCTGCGGGGTGTTGCTGCAACACCATCAATGTTGCTTATCTTCTTACGCCAATTGGTTCCTTAATGAATTTCCAACATTTCAAAACACATAAAAAAGTAATACTTAACAAGTCGGTCACATTTTTTTCAGTTTCTTCTTCTTTTATTTGTTAAATCGGCGCAATTGCAGCTCCGCGAATCAGCAGCCTATCCAAGTTCAATTACGCACCATCAATTCTGCTTTATCAAAGTACTTTGGTCATCCTATTCAATTTAACCTCGGTGGCTTTTCTTTGCAAGGCAGTCTACGGTATAAAGTTAAACTCAGAAGTTTGTTTCTCATTATTTAATCAATAAAACCTAAATGAAGTCTGTGCCGATGGGTTTTTCTCTGACTTCGCTCCAAGTAGCCTCTCTTTCTTTCTCTGCTTCACTTTCATCCGTGTTGCTTACTATCTGGATTTACCTCAGTATCTTTTATTTTTCTTTTCTTTACTTCAAGCCAAAATTTTAATATATATCCAAACAAATTGCTGTGTTGTTTTTAATGCATGATTTTTTTCTATCCTCCTCTGTGTGTGTGAGTGTGTGTTTTGGACACATAGGCTGCTTGAGTGGGTCAGATCATTAAATCTAACCACCACTAAGCAATAAATCTCTGGTGCAAACTTGTGCCCAGACAGTTTGATTTGTATACACGGTGCACACATTCACATAGACACACTATGCAGTGTTCATTGTGTAGAATAACGGCAATAGTACAGGGGGAGAAAATTATGCTGCATCCAAGCTGTTTGCTACTGTGCATAAGTGTCTCACTTAGTACTGTGCATAAAACCTAACCCAGAAATGCACCAATTACTGGGCCAAAGATTAGATATGGTAAATATCCCCTTGATCGACTATGCTCTATGGCTGGAAGGTGAAAGGATGAAAAGTTTTTGTACTAATAATTTAATTAATTAAAACTAAGAAGTTTGTGAATTTCTATACAGCAATGCATCCACTGACAGTGTGTTTATTTATGCACCCTAAATATTAGAATAAAGACTGTATAGATGGGAATAATATTGTAATTCCTTGGTTTCTGTTTGCCTCAAATTTACGCTCTTTAGGAACAAACCACAGCAAATGGTTTCTATTTTTTATGTTATAAAGCCTACAGAGAGAGAGAGAGATAGAAAGAGAAAATAATTAATCTTAATTGAGATTCAGAGTAAAGACCTTAAAGAAAAATCAATATCGGCCAGGAAAAGCCTGATCTGTGCATCCCCAACCTGCCTCTTTACACTTGACTGGTTACTTTAAGAAACAAAGCCAAATATTACATTATATCACAAGCTGGGACACTTTAATCAGCATCTTGGACACATACAGAGAAGGGAGAAAATAGTTGATTAATTTCCTAAATATATTCCTTTTTTATTTTGTTCTCTGGTATTTATTCCTAAGGCACATTGCCAAAAGAAAAAAAAAAGGTATCAGGAGACTTTGTTTGCTGGTGTCTTATGCTGTGTATTGTTGGTCTTTCTAGAGGAATAATGGAGAGCGTGCCTCCGAAGGTCCCTGTCAACCTGGCTTCTCGCAAAGCTTCTACTCCTTAGAGATATCGAGGGATGTACTGCAAGGCCATGGCATAGTTAAAGGTAAGCATCTTAATTGCAATGTAAGATGGTGTCCATTTTTTGAGACTTTTTACAGTTGTGTAAAAGGAAACCCTGATATGTAAAAGCTGAATCGTAATAGAAACTAAATCTGCTTTGGTGGAAATATTTGTAGCTTAACACAATCTCCAGTGTGATCTGAATGACTGGCTTACATTTGCTGTTTCTTCAACTATGCCTTTATGTTTTATATATATATATATATATATATATATATATATATATATATATATGAATGAGAAAAAAAGCTTCTATGTTTAATACATTCTGAGTGTATTTATTTCTCCGTTTCTGCAAATTTACACAATTTTCAAAACAGCTTAAGCTTATAAACTTAAGTGTTTGTTTTTATTATCATCTTTATTCCACTTACCGTGACCTTCACATCACATTATCTTACCAAGATTTGTGTGATTTCCTTCAATTACACAACGATTCCGAGCAAGTTTGAGGACCCTTTAGCGCAGGAAATGGAATCGACATCCTCTGTCTAATCTGGCATTGCTGTTGCCGATGTGAGCTAATTGCGATTTCCTATTGATCCAAATGTTTTGTTTTTTTCCTCAAGGCTCAAGCTGCATTGTTTTGCTGTGGGCAACAATGGTTCTTTTTGTGTCTTCTCTGTCTCCCGCTGCTGCACAGTTAATACTTCTTGCTCTCCTTAGCTGTGTAAGATGTGGAAGAGATCCATCTCTGGAAGCTATAGGTCCTGATTTTCCCATGGACGTATGCCCCCCCCCACCTCCACACAAACACCAATACAGATAAATACTGAGTATTTTTTTGTAGTCAGGTTGTACAGTCAAAACCCCATGCAATGCAATATATTTTGGCTTTGTTTTTGTCCATACATGTTTGATTCTTGTGAGATTATAGTGGTGGAAGAATCATCTCCTATTTGAGTGTTTCATTAACTTCAGCTTATTGTATCCTTGCTTGGGGTTGGATATGATGTGGGATACTGTCACTTGCAGTAAGCTTGCTCTACTTGTGGTAGTGATGTCTTCAGCCCAGCAGGGGGTGTTGACACAATCACAAATACACACAAAATGAGACATCCCTGCTGCAGGAGTCATTTATTCCAGCGAGCATTATTTATCTAGTTTGGACTCCGGGAGATGAAATTGTCACACTATCTGCCTTCACACGTAAAGTAATCTTTGGTTGGCCTTACATGCTTATTTTCAGGTTTCTGTGTGTAGCTGCAAGGAAAGCACAAACTGTAAGCCACAATAAAGGCAGCCTCAGCCCTAAACCTCTTATACACTGAGGCACCCTTTTTTGTAAGCATTAAAAGTATTCCACCCCCTTAGACTTTTTACATGCTTTTACATGGTACAGCAGTTTTTTTTTAGCCTAGTTTGACGTAATATTACAATACAAAGTAATATTCAAATCAAGAAATGGAAAAAAAAAAAATAGACAAATCATTTCTAAAATTTAAACAAGTAACCCAAAACCCAGGCATGCATCCCTTTTCAATCCCTAGAGCCAATGTTCTGTAGGACAATGCTTTCAGTAATTAAAGCTGCAAGATTTTTTTCTGTTTGTGTCCACCGAGTTTACTCACATAGAGACTTTTTTGTCCATTGTTCTTTACAGAATAGCTCAGGCTTATTCACATTGAATGGCAATGTCATTGCACATGTCCGACTGGACTTAGGTCTTACCTTTGACTGGGACATTTTAGTAGAGATAAATCTGCAGCAGTTTTACAGAATGGATGGTTCTTGCTCCATATCTCCATCAGCTGGAAAAAATCTATTTCTGAAGTATGGTGATGTAGATCCTTTCACAGCGGTGAAAGTTTGCGATAAAAACTTTAAGGTTTTGAGAAATAAAATAATAATGCTGGACTCAGAAGAGAAAAATAATGAGGTGACTCAGGTATGCAAAAATATAAACAACTGCATCTGGACAAAATCTAGAATAGATCATATGACTTGTAACAAAAGTTTATAAAGAGCCTTACTAATCTATGAATTAAATATTGTTAACTCTATTTCTTTACATTACAACTAAAGCATATCTTTGTGTAGTGTTTTTTTTCATTGTCTTTGTCCATTTTTTTATAGTTCCTGTTCTCTTCTTTGCAGCCTCACAGCTGTAGTATCATCTTCATTTGTGCCGGCGAGCACAGATGTTGCGGCCACGCACCCATACATCCAGTCTATGAAATACCCAGTTGTCTGATGTGATTTACAAGGCTTAGGCACTTGATTTATTGCAGAGAAGGGTGTCACTGTAAGAATGCGGGAAGCGGTTCTACAATTGCTTTAATAGTAACATTGTTTAACCTAAAACTGTCAGATGAGGGAAGAAGTGATGACAACCTACTCTTGCGCACACACTTGTGCAAAACCATAAATATATTCATGTTAGCCATCAGGGGTAATAATGGAGAGGACAGAACTAGGACCTTGGTCATGATGGGTAGCTTGCTCTGGTCTAGACAGGAGGTCAGCAGGAAAAAGGACAGTGTAATGTTTCACCCTTATGTGACAAATTTGCCTAAAAAGAAAGTTGGCTATTTCCAGCAAATAGTGTATGTTTAAAGAGCAGTTGTTGCAAGGTGAATTTCCTCCAAACAGTACATTTTTCTGTGAACATAACTTTTATTTTTGTATTTCTTCCCTTTTAATGCTGCGCTTTACAAGGTCAGCTCATTAATTAGTAATTTAAAAACTCATTCACAAAGTAATTTTTTCATTAAAAACTTTTGGCAAACACAGGTTACTAATTCAGATTAGTCAAAATACTTTAATGATTCCCTTTGAATTTGTTTTTTAAATAATGCACCCTTTATTGGAGTCTGTTTTCACGTTATGTTACAAATTAGCCTGTGCTGTTAAATAAACATTTTGATTTCAAGAAACTAGAATAAAAAATAAAAAATAAACTTTTTTTATAGATTCTATTTAGATGTGTAACATACCTATAATTATTACCATCTGGATTATACATTTAAGGTATTTTTTATGCTTATAGTGTAAAGCCAATAGAAATGTAACCTTCGCTTTTTATAATTTTTGAATGTTGCATAAGATCAATCAATATTATATTCAGAATCCTAGCTATGCAGTTATAAGAAGACTGCTCTATTAAGATTAAATTAGTTTAAATTTCAGTTGCAAGAAAAATTATAATAAAAAGTGCTCAAGCAACGCAGAACCACAGCCTTGAGAGGATTATTAAGTAAAGCCTGAGTTTGCAGAAGATTTACACGGCTTGTAGACTACGGCACGACTCTGTGTTTCAAGAGCAATCACACAGACATAGCTGGGGATGAGCATTCAGACCCTTTTGTAAGAATATCTCACAACAGTAGACGCAAATAAGTGGGAATGCATAAGCATTCCCACTTGATTAGCTGCACTAAGGACAAGCAGGGCTTAAATGCATGATAATTGGACAATGCTATCTTTTCAGATTTCAACACATTTTCCTTTTCTTTTGAAATACATGGTTTAAGTACAGAATTATATGAAGTAGTTAAAGGTTGGGGTTAAAAATTATTAGAGTAGTTTAATCCTTTTTAAAAATTATTTATTTTAAAAATATTTGGTCATAATTATTTAAAGTAAAAAAAATAAAATAAACTAGATAAAGAAAACTCCTAATATATATCCCCTTAAATTCTCTGAATCTATTTAATGTGAGTTTCATGTTATGAATGACATTAACTCTATGATTCTTCTATTTCTTGAGGTGCACCATGCCAACTGAAAAGATTATTTGCATCTCCATAGAATAGAATCTTTTAGCTTAGGAGAAGCTGTGATGCTCTTCATCCTGTGGGGAGATTCTAAGATTGATAAGAATACAGTAGACAAATACTTTGTGTCGTTTATAGGAAAATATGAGATTTTATATTCCTTTTTTAGTCTTAAAAATGAAATCATTATGCTACAGTTTTCAATAATTCAAAAAAATACATTCTTGCAGCAAAACCTAAACATATAGTGAAAGTAAAGAAATGAAATGCAGACATAAATACATCAAAATAAGAAGAAATATGTAAACACTGTGTTGTATTTTCACCATATCGCATAGAAGACTGTAATGTTTGAACTAAAGGGGCTCTGAGGTTGTCAGAAGCACAGAGCCGCTCTTCATTATCGGTTCTATCAGCTTCTTTAAAGCAGACCTATAAAATATTCTCAGGGCTTTTACTTGAAAGTTTACTATGACCTGTATTTATTTAGAAAGCTAAACTAAACAGTTTACTCTGTTCCTTCTTGGAAGAAAAACCCCAATGATGCCCTTTTTATCCAGTCGTTATTCAAGTTACAATAGACGGAATTGGTAGGAAAATACAAACACTGTTTTTATGTTTTCAGATATTTGACATTATACTCAGTTCTTTAATTTCATGCTGGACCCTAAATTTGATAAAAAGCATTCCAGAAATGTAATATACAAAGTGGCACTAAGTAACATTTTTACCCTTATTGTCTTATCTTATGTTACCTGTGTTCATGACACATTTGAAAGGTTTGGCATCTCCTCTTCTCTTTCTGAACAAAAAAACACACTTGCAGCTTTCTGTGTCTCTGACCGAGTGAAGTCTTGCAGTTCTGTTTCACATGCCTCGCACGGAGCTACTTAGATGTGATTTTAATTGCATTTCTCAAAATCTTTTTGAGGTTATGTAATTTAATCTGGCTAACACCTGGACACTTGATTAAATTTTTTTTTCATGTTTACAGATTTCAAAGCATGTTTTACAATCATGCTGATAAGGTTTTATTAATCTAAATATAAAAAAGAAATAATATAACACACTTAGAAACTGTAAACAGTCATATTGATTGATCATTTGCCGCGTTAGGAAACAGAATCAGATGTCATTGGTCAATTCTAGCTTTGTTTCAGCATTATGGTTTCAGTATAACCTAAAGTTCTGTCAAGCAAACTATTCACAATGCTGGAGGCTTCTCCACTGGTTTTGGAGGTGAGAGATGTCAGCTATAAAAGCAGTC